CTAGTCAGTGGGGGTGAAGCTCCTAGTTGGGCACCCGCTCGGTTTCTCCCATGTTCAATGATGTAAGTTTTGTGTTCAGCAATAGGGCCTTACCAGCGAGTTACGGAGAGTAACCAATAGCTTTAGCCTGTAATGTCGGGGAAGCGTATGGGACCCCTTTGGCCAACATTCTGTCTTCAAATAGAACTGCACTCCTTCCAGTTCAATGTCAGGACCTTACAGTAGCACCCATCTATTTCCCCATGCTGCTTCATGCTGTTGCCACAGTTTCACACAGGTAATTATGCCAAATAACACACTGTTAATATTTTGCTATAAACAGCCCATTGTCATGTAAAGAGATATAAAAATTAGATGGTCTTTTCTGTTTACCCAGGTTTGCCATTTCCGGAATTCATTCCTCATGTAGAAGTGGCTTCCCATTTCACACTATTCCAGCAAGACTTCCTGTAACACTTCTTGTAGTAGTCGCTTGATGAGTGTACATTGTCGTGTCTGAGAAACGTATCGATTGACCTTCCTTGTGGATGTAGAGTTGTGGGTAGGACGTTCCAGTTTTAAAGGAAGTGTTCCACTGGCTTTGCATGTGCGCAGTTCCTAGCAGGATGTCTCCTGCCATTCTCACACGGCTAGACGGGGTCTGACGTGTCTTCTTCTCTCGGGCGGCAAGACTTCCCTTTCGCCCCTGCTTTCCAGCGATCTGGTTCTCGGGTGTGTTATTGTGGCATTTTTGAAGTATTTCTTCTGCCCAAGGTTCATAAATACTTCCAGCCTGTGGTTGTATAGTTTCCATGACATCTGAGAAACTTCTCAGCTATCTTCAAGACTTGGCTGCCCTCCTCTGAAGACTCATTGTGTGCACCCTGCTGTGTGCAGCTGCCCCAGAGCGCCCCGAAATGTCTCTCTGTTGTGTTGTTGGTCCCCTCCTCTGGGCCCTTTATTTTCAGTATTTCTTTTTTTATTACACTTTATTGATTTGGGGAGAGGGGCACGTGTCCTAGCACACGTCTGAAGGCCAAAGGACAGTTTACAGGAGTTGGTTCTCTCCTTCCACTGTGTGGGCTTCAGGCATTGAGTTCAGGTAGCCAGGTTTGGCGGTCAACACCTTTACCTGCTGAGCCATCTCACTGGCCTGATTTGGGGTGTTTCTTTTCTTTTCTTTCATTTTTCTGTTTTATTTTTTCTTCCTTATATTGAAAATAGATTATTTGCTCATATCATAACATATTATACCCTGATTATGGCTTTTCCCTCCCCCTATTCTTCCCAATTCCTTCCCATCTCCCCTCCTAAAGGACTCACTCCCTTTCTGTCTCTCATAAGCAAAGAACAGGCTTTTAAGAGATAGTAATAAAATGTAACAAGATAAATTTAAAAGCTATCACATGAAGTTGGATAAGGAAAACCAACAGAAAGAAAAGAGTCCAAGAGAAGCACAAGAATCAGAGACCCACTTGTTCACACATTTTGGAGTCTCATAAAAACACGAAACTGGAAGCCAGAATGTTAAACGCAGAGGACCTGGGGCAGACCATGCAGGCCCTATGCATGCTGCCTCAGTCTGAGTTCATGCGAGCTCTGATCATGTTGATTTAGAGGGCCTTGGTTGGGTTGGGTTTGGTTGGTTGGTTGGTTTTGTGGAGTTTTTTTTGTTGTTGGTTTTTTTTTTTTTTTTTTGTGTGTGTGTGTGTGTGTGTGTGTGTGTGTGTGTGTGTTGTTTTATTGTCGGCACTGCGGCTGCACCTGAACCCACTGCTGTTTCAGCTACTGCCAGCAGCCCCACAATCACTGAGAGATGTGATGGAGACATCCTATTTAGGGACAGGTGTTCCAAGGTCTCTCATTCTGTGTAATGTCTGGCTGTGGGTCTCTATATTTGTTCTCATCTTCAGCAGGAGGAAGCTCCTTTGTTGCTGGCTGAGAAAGGCACTGATCTATGAATGTAACAGAATATCATTAGGAGTCATTTTACCACTACAATTTTTTTTAGATCAGTAGTATTTTGTTTTACTCTAGGTCCCTGGGCTGTATATCTAGTCTCTGGTTCTTGGTCACCCAAGCAGTGTTGGGTTTGGGCTCCATCTCATGGAGTGGGCTTTAAGTCAAATCAGATATTGGTTGGTTACTCCGAGGTTTGTGCCACCATTGCCCTAGCATATCTTGAAGACAGGACACCATTGTAGATCAAAGGATTTGGGCTGGCTTGATGTTTATGTTTCTCCATTGGTAGCATGCACATTATCTTCCTGTAACAAAGACACTAGCTTGTAGAGGTGAAGGCTCCATGTAGGCACCAGCTCAACCTCTCTGTGTTCAGTGAGCTGTGTAGATGTTGTCTTCAACAATGGGGCCTTGCTGTCAGCTTGAGGAGAGCATCATATTGTCTTGGCAACAGCCTGTGTTGTTTGGGGATTCCCATGTTGGCCAACAACTCAATTTGATGTGACCCAATCCCAGGACTGGAAGCCTCATTTGGTAATAAGAGATGGCCTCCTGGGATTCTGTCTCTCCCATTATTTGGCAATTTCATTTAGATCACCTTCGTGTGTGTGTGTGTGTGTGTGTGTGTGTGTGTGTGTGTGTGTGTGTAGACCAGAGTGGACCCTTGGCATCTTCCTCAATCCTTCTTCACCTTGGGTTTTTGAGACAAGGTCTCTCACTAGCCTGGAGCTCACGACTTCAACTAGATTGGCTGGTCAGGGAGTCCTGGCCAGGGATTCAGCCATCCCTTCTTCTCCAGCCCCGGGATTGCAAGTGTGAGCCACCACACTCAGCCCTGGTACGTGTGATCTAGGGCTCACACTCAAGTCTGTATGATTGTGCAGCAAGCACTTTGCCAAGTGAGCCACCTCCTAGCCCTCCGCTGTTTTCTTTTCTTACTAATAGAAGTTTTATTTGGACTGTTTCTGCATCTTTTATTTCTCTTTTCCTTCCATTGATGTGTTATATTTATAATGGCTGCTTCGGCACTGATTTTAGAAAGTAGTTTTAATGAAGGACTTTGACTATATATATCTGCAAAACAAACTGAAAAGAATGGTAAACAGACACTGAATTCCGAATGTAGTTTTGTTTTTCACAGTGGTATGTGTTTGTAACTCTGAAACTAATGAATGAAAGAGTAATTACATTACAGAGAATAATGTCAGTGTCCTGCTTTCTTTCTGTTACTGTGATGAAACACTAACAACAACAACAACAAAAACCAACTTAGAAGAAGAAGGAAGGATTTATTTAGCTTATGTTTCCAAGTCACAATTCATCATTAAGGGCCATCTGGGCAAGAACGATGGAGAAATGCCAATTGCTGGCTCACCCTCTGACTTGCTTGCAAGCTCATGCCTAGCTAGCTTTATTATACAGTCAGGACCACCTGCCTTGGTGTGGTTCTGCCCACATGAGGCTGTGCCCTCCTGCATCAATTAGTAATCAAGATGATCATCTACACCTGTGGCCACAGACCTGCGGCGTCTAGGTAATTCCTCAATCAGGGCTTCCCTCTCAGATGACTCTGGGCTGTGTCAAGTTGACAAAGCTAAGTAGGACAGTGAGCGTCACTGTTCGAGATGACAACTGCAGATTCAGGGAGGAGGAAGCACAAAATAAGGTGTGGCTTTGTGTTGGGTTTGAATTGGACGCATCATTTTAAACTTACAGTACCTACATCTCTGTGCATACTGTGATGATGGATTTATAACATGTGTACATATGCATTTACAGTCATGTCAGAAATAGTCCCCTGGGGTGATAATAGAAAATTCCCATCACTCAGGTGCATCACAGTGACTTAGTGCAACACTCTACTGGCATGCTTGTGGTGATGAAGCCTGTCCACACGGCTGGTCATGAAGTCAGGCTGCCTGACCAGCAAGCCCTGGAAATCTGGTCTCTACCTCCCTATTGCTGGGATGACAAGCTATTGGTGGAAGTATTAAGGCCACTCCACGTAGTTAAAAGGGATGTTTATTTTGTGGGTTAACTTACAAGTAAAGGGATGGATTACAGGGTCCGGGAAAGGTATAGTGCAGTCCAGCAGTGTTCTCTGGAGAATTCTGCTCGGTCTACCTCCAGTGTCCAGGATCCAGGAACCAAGAGAACCAGTCTCAGGTCTTAAGTGCTCCTGTCTCCCCCACCCTCTTCGTAGGCGTGACAGTTACTGGAAGCCTCAATGGGGGTAGTATTTCCAGGACAAAACTGGAACAGCTACCCGCTACAAGCTTACCATCATACCTGGGTTTTTAATGTGAGTTCTGAGGACCAAACTCATGTCCTTGTGCTTTTGAAGCAGGACTGAGCAAGCCATCTGACCAGCCTGACGTGTGTGTGTGTGTGTGTGTGTGTGTGTGTGTGTGTGTGTGTGTACACATGCTTCTTTACAAATCAGGGCAAACTCTCATTATTAAGCACCCACTGTATACAACCACTGCCCTGCCCCCTTGCACTTGGGACCCAGCACATGCTCATGTGTCCTAAAGCTCTGCTGACCTGTTTGGGATGGGGCAGCTTCTAGGTAGATCCCTGACCCTAAACTTCCACACCAAGGTCAGCCCAGGCCACATGTCCTCTGAGCTTGCACAGAGCTTGTCAAGGGTCAGACATAGTCCCTCAGGTCCCTGAGACTGGGCAAACATCTGCCACCTGTACTTGCGGAGCAGGCACAGGAGCTGTAGAGGCCCACTGGGGATGAGAACTGGCATGAGATCCCAGAGGAAGGACCACTGTAGCCAGACATCCAGCTGGTGCGATGAGGGTCCCAGCTCTGTGAGGGAAGGAGGAGGCCACAGGCTTGGCCTGGAAATGCTACCTTTGACATGGAAGCCGCAGGACTGCTGGAAGGCCATCAAGGCCCAAGGTCTCAAGAGGGGATGGACACAAAAGATGGTTTGGACACCAGGTGAGATACAGTCATTATTGGTGGAATTATTAAGGCCACTCCACGTAGTTAAAAGGGAGATTTATTTAATGGTGTAACTTACAAATGAAGGGATAGGTAGGTGGCGGGTTCTGGGAAAGATGCAGTGCAGTCCGGTGGTGTTCTCTGGAGAACTCTCCTCGGTCTACCTCTAGCATCCAGGGTCCAAGCAGGAAGCAGCGCGGCGCATTCTGATCTCGAGTCTTCAGGGCCCTCCTTTGGCCCCGCCTTGTAGGCGTGATAGTTACCGAAGCTTCAATGGGGGTTGGAACTCTTCCAGACCAAAGCTGGAATGGCTACCCACTACATCTCCCCCTTTTTGTCTAAATAAGAAGGTTGTAACTTAATACACGACTATATACAAAGGAATGGTTATCAAATATTGTCCAGGAATAATGAGGGATAACGACCTAGATAAGACGGAACTACAACCAATGCGAACAATATCAAGCAAGAAACCCGGAGAGAAAACTCCAGCTACAAGTCATTACTTACTGGCCAGAGGGTTGGGTTCTGACCCTGCTGAACATGAAACTTGAGGAGCATCTGGCCAGGTGTGCTGGAGCAATAGCTCCATTACATAGGACGATTCGGTGATGGCTGGAGACAGAACGTAAGAGAGAGAGAGCGTCATTGGCCACACTCAGTAGCAAGCTGAGACCAAGTAGAGGTTCTACATCACACCAGAAAGTGGTCCAAGGGAGACTCTAACCGTAGACAGATGGCAAGAGGGAGGATGCACCCCTCCCAACCTGAGCACAGACCACAGCTCAAGTGACCCCTCCTCCTGGACATTGTCCTGACTGTCCCTGGTGACTCTCCTGCCCCTCCCACAACCTCTTGTAGAGCCCCGTGATGCCTAACCCTGCACCAAGGAGCTTTGCCAGAGCAGCCCTTCCCTCCATGGCTGAGAAGAAAGGATGCTCACCCAGCAGCCCTGCCCACCCACCGCCCAGGACACCAGCCCACACTGCGCCTGTAGAAGGAATCTCAGTTGCCCAGAAAGCTGCCAGGAAATGAAAGACATGCCTGCAGTCATCAAAACAAGTGTTAGAAGCCTGGGGTCAGGAGAGCTTTGTTATTTGGGTTGGGAGAGAGAAGTCCAAGCTGGAGGGGACCCAGGTGATACCCTCTCTAATCTGATGCTTGCAAAACTGGAGCCTCTCCGCTGAGTAAGCTGGAGCCCCTAACCCAAAGCAGCCTCTGGTCTTCGACACCAGGGTGTTGGCCCAGGCTCAAGCCACATTGCACTCAGTCTCTCGGGCCATTTCCAAGGTCCTGACTTCAAACAAGTCGGAAATGCCAACAGCCCTGCTTCTCTGCTTCCTCCAGCCAGGGCAGCCTTCCTGCAGGAGCAGAGAGGGGGAAATGGGGGTGGGGGAGGCAACAGGAGAGTGTGGGCATGCAGGCATGTAGGCAGCCCCACACCATCCAGGATGCTCCGCCTCCTCCACCTCCCGCTGGGTTCACAGTTCCTCCTGCTTCCTGAGACCTCCCAGCCTCCCAAAGCAGCTGGACAGCTGGGCAGCTGACCAGGAATCTTCCCCAGGAATCTCAGGCTGCCCCGCCAGAGCCTGGTCCTGGCAAGGCTAGCTATAGTTAAGGAGGAAAGGGCATCTCTGGGAAGCAGGGACCATCTTTACTCGCCTCTGTCCACTGCAGACTTTACTGCAATCATTCTGAAAGGTCCTCCTGCGACCTCTATCACCCACCCTGGACTGTGACATCCATGTGGTGGCCTTGTTTATCTCAACAACAGGTGCTCAGCCTGAAAGGAAGACAGTGTTCCTGAACTGGCCCAAATGCTGCAGGTCCCAGAGGAAACCTGGGAGTGGCCACAGGAAGGCCCTGCATGCCTAACTTTCAGGGAAGGGCTGGGGAAGGCCATGGTTATGAACCAAGGCCAGGCATATAGCATCCTCAGCTTGTAGATCCCTAGAGAAAGTGTCCCCCTCCTTGCCCAGGGTGGCAGACTTCCTAAGGATCCAGCATTTCTACAAGTGTCTAGATGAGTATCAACATGACTCCTCTTGGGACAACATCTAGACCCATGATCAGGTTTTTGAGGAGCCAGTGACTGAGCAGCTGACAGTCTGGAAGTCACCTCTGAAGCCAGGACAGGGATTAAACACGATTGTTCATGTAGGAATGCCTGGCATCCACGGTTGCCAGGGCCACCAATCAGGGACTCAAGTCTCATTCATCCTCCTTGGTTTCCACGCTGCACTGTATGTTTCACAACGTGGCATTGCAAGTACAGAAAAACTATAATCTGGGAAGACGCAGCATCTCCCAGGGCCTGAAGGAAAGGGCTACCAATGACTCCCTAGACCTCTGGCCTGGGCCTTGCACACCTCCAGAAGAGACTCACGGATCCCATCTAGAGAAAGGAAGCCCATGAAGCTCTGCCCAGGAAAGGGAGCTTGCCAGCCCTACATCTGGGCCCAGCACCTGCCTTGCTGTGGTCCTGGCACTGCCCTGTCCTGGCAGGGGAACAGGGCCAGCTTGTTCTGCCTCCTTCCTGGACCCCCAGCTCTGGGCCTACTCCTACCCAACCCTGAGAAGAAGAGCAGCAGCGGTCTGGGGTGGAACAGAGGAGACCTCAAGGGCCTCCTCTCTACACATGGCACACCTCGGCCGGGCGTTGGTGGCGCACGCCTTTAATCCCAGCACTCGGGAGGCAGAGCCAGGCGGATCTCTGTGAGTTCGAGGCCAGCCTGGGCTACCAAGTGA